CCCCTCTTCGGCAAAGTCTTTGAAGCTCTAATCAATACCGGTGTGGTTAACCACCTCACATCCCATAATCTGCTCTCAGACAAGCAATATGGTTTCCGCTTTGCTCGATCTACAGCCGATGTGCTTACGGCCGTCACTGAAACAGTCTACCGAGCTCTTCAAAATAACGGGGAAGCCCGAGCCGTGGCACTAGACATCTCCAAAGCATTTGATAGGGTTTGGCATGCCGGCCTTCTTCGCAAGCTCCAGGGTTATGGCATTACGGGTCGATTATATAACCTAATACAATCATTCCTGTCAAACCGTGAATTGAAGGTCGTTCTCAATGGATTCTCCTCCAGTTCCTATCCCACGAACGCAGGTGTTCCTCAAGGCTCCATCCTAGGCCCCACTCTATTCCTTATCTACATAAATGACCTTCCTGATGCCATAACTTCCCAAGTTGGCATCTACACGGATGACACCACAATTTATTCCTGCCGCAAAAACAAATCTAGTCTTGCTGACAAAACTCACCTGGCCATGCATCTCGAAAAGGACGTCCAATCGATTGTGAACTGGGGCATGAATTGGCTGGTCAACTTCAACGCTTCTAAGACAAAACTGCTCTCTATTAATCACCACAGAGATCCTTCCCTTCCCTCCATTAGAATGTCTGATGCTCAACTTCTCGAGAGCAACTCTCTGCGGCTTCTCGGTCTCACGTTGACTGCTGACCTGAGATGGAATAAATACATTGAGTCAATTGCTTCGTCCACCGCAAGGAAAGTTGGCTCCCTGAGCCGCGCTAGGAAGTTTTTTTCCCCGGAGTCGATCCTCCAGATCTACAAATCAACAATTCGCCCTTGCATGGAGTATTGCTGCCATATATGGTCTGGTGCCCCTTCTGTTTGCCTCGGGGTTCTTGATAGGCTCCAGAGGCGGATATGCAATATGGTTGGCCCTGCCGTCGCCTCCCTCTGTCTGTTCTACAAATACTTTCATGGAAATTGCTCCGAGGAGCTGCATTCGCTGGTTCCCAGACGTCATGAGTTCCAGCGCCCTACAAGGCTGGCATCCCGCTCTCACCCCTTCACTGTCGAAACTCCTAAATGTAGCCGTCTCTTCTACTCTAATAGCTTCATGTCTCGCACCTCTCGCCTGTGGAACTCCCTTCCCTATTCCTGTTTCCCTGTGAGCTATAATCTCCAGCTATTCAAATGTAATGTCAATCGACATCTCCAGTTGCCTTGATCTATCCACTACCCTCATCCTTTCTTCTATCACTCCTATCTGATCTTGCTCTAAATTTTCTGTAACCCCTTGTGTCCTAGTGGCTTCCCGCCTTGCTTGGGGTGAAATGCTTAAAAAAAAAAAATATATATATATAATATAATATAATTAAAATACTAACCAAGGAAATGGTACAGAGAATTCATTGGTTAGTGTTACTGCTCTGTATTGGTGTATTTCCTAGAGACATTGGGCACTTAGTGTTATTGTTTAAGTAGGTATCTGTCTTTTTCTTTTCTGTTTTCCCTTTTTTTTCTTTTCTGTTTTTTTTTTTTGTCCTTGGTTTTCGTTTTTTTTATTTAAGTTTTTTTTTTCATTTGGCAGGCTTAAGGTTGTATTTGAAAACTTTACTCATAGTTTGGTTTGTAATTATGTAAAATGTGTTGCAAATAATTTGGGCTGATAAAGAATTCATGTATTACTAGATTATGTCTAGTTAAAATGGTTCAGTGAATTCAACTATAATTAAGCGAATCTATATTTGGTTATCAGCACTGAGAATATCAAAATTAGACAAACGGTAAACTATGAGTAATTCCTAATCACGTCATATTTTATATTGATGCACCTTAGTTTCTCCTATTTATTTTCTTCAAAAAATTATAAAAGAAATTTAAAAAATTATAGGTTTAAAAAAAAAATGCCATTTTAACACATACTGATAGGCTTTCTTATATTGGTTTTTGTATTGTGACTTTTTTGAGCACACTGTAGAAAACAAAAACCACTTCTGCTTAGATCTGTTTGTATTAAAGGCAATCCCTCTTCCTCAATACTATTTGCTTTATTCTTCATTGTTTGTTGAATTTCCTGTTGTTTTTCCTGATATTCCTTTGGTTTCAGTGCTCAATAAACCGCAGTACTAAAAGTAGCCTATCATAGCGACAAAATCTAGGTTTCTTTTTGTTTATACATTTTTGGTGTCGTTGCTTGACAAGTGCTTATTTCCTAGTCCAATGATTTCATTTTGTGATGATCCTGGATAAGGTTTCCAAATTGTAATGAAAGGCTTTTTTCCATTTTTTTTTTCTTCTTCTTCTCCTTTCTTTCAAAACTTCCTTTTCACTTTGTTTGGAATAATAAACAACCATAACTTTTGCCATGATGAATCCTGCCTAAGCCTTTAATTTTTTTTTCTTGTTTTTTTTTTTTTTTTTTTTTTTTTTTGCACTTTATTGTTTCTCCTTTTTTCTGACTGACACATTTTAGTATCTAGACAAATTTTATTTTAACTGGGAATGGCAAGTCTTGTGATGATTTAAGAGCAGTCACAAAATGGGACAAAACATACACGCATATATAACGTGCCCCTCTGAACTCTCACACATGTGGAAATTTTAAAAGTTTTTGTACTAAATTTGTGTATAACTATATAGGTATGTAGTTAAAACATAAAATAAAATTAGAAGTAAATGACCATTCTATAAAAGTTGATATGCCATGAATCCAAATAACAAATAAGAATTATCCTCTCACCATTTTCTTTCTATTCTGAAACCAATATTCTGTATGAACTGCGAGGTGTTTGTGAAATCATCAAATTATAGTTAATGTTACAGGAAATCATTGTATATAAAATACAAATGAATTAATCAATTAAAAAGATTTTTTATTGATTTATTTTGTTTTTTATGCCTTCTTAATCTTGCAGGTTATTTAAAGTCAAACAATATTTTGGGATTGTAAGAATTTTTTTTAGAGATAATAAATAATAATGTATATATAAAATATAATTTCATGTATTTATAATGATTTTATATAATATTTTCAATGATTTCCTGTATTTACAATGATTTCATATTTAAAATATATATATATATATATATATAAAATAATCAATTTCTTATAACTAGTGCTTATTTGTGTCTATATTTCTGAGATGAGGTATTGTAATTATTTACATTGTTCGGACTGTTGTCCTCAATTTTATTGTCATATTCATGATGATTCAGATGTAGTATGCTCCAGCCTTCTTCACATTGTTAGTTGCCAAGGCTTTGTGTACTACCCTCTGAGTCACTTCCTTGTAGCTGGAAGTAGAAAAGATGGTTTAATACCTTTACCAGTAAGTGAATATAACAAACCAAATTGAAACTCAGCTCTGATTTTTAAAAAAAAAAAAAAAAAAAAAAAAAATTACAAGCTAAAAAATTACATGACCTGCACATTGAAGCTTACAGCACTTGGTGGTCACCCATCTAAGTACTAACCAAGCTTGATGTTGCTTAACTTCAGTGATATTTCAGAACTGGTGTTTCAATATGATGTGGCTGTACATCTTCAGAGAATAAATTTTCAGCTTAAAATATAAAAATGGGCTTCAGAATTAGCATCTTCCCTTTATCCAAAAAAAAAATCAATTGTACCAATGTAAAGAGATACATTTTTTTTTTTTTTTTTTTTTTTTTTTCTGAATTTCTGGGCTGAGAAGTTATCACAGTCATGGGTAAACTGTAGACAGTTTGGCTTTCTAATTTTATGAGGAAAACAACATTTATTAAAATATTATTCATTTTGTTCTAACCTGTTCACTCACTCACTCTCTCTCATACTTAGCCACATACAGAAACAATGCTTAAGTATAATGTTTACTGAATTTTGTAATTTTTTTATTGAAGGTAACATGTTCATCATTTTAAACTATTGGTTATTTTCACTAAGGAAGATTATACATGTAAATATCTTTTGCTTTAGAAATAGGAAATATCCATAATAATGTTTTATTTTTCTCTAGAGAATAAATATATTTTTTGTTTTAGACAATATTTTTGTCTAGTCAAATGAATAAATTAAAAACAAATTGCATACAGCAGCATGTGTTAATCACACTATCATCAGTGTTCAGTACAACTCTATCAATAATTAGATAGAGCTTTTCAGAGAATAATGAATGATTTGTTTTGTATGGCTTATCAACCCTTTACAAGTTAAGGCCAGAAAATATATTAGATGAAACATTGTCAAATTACTATTCTTTTCAATATTACTACATATACATGTACATGGATTTTTTTTATAGAGGAGTTTTACAAATTTAGTAGCAATAGAAAATGTTGATGGATAAACTTGAATAAATGTCCAGTAATTTGTTTTAATTTATAACTAATAAGGAAATATATTAACAGTTATTGTCATTTATAGTTGGACTAATGTCCTTATCTTTGTTGTTTAACCTTTTTTAGATGCCTGTTGGTCCCAGTAACCTTAAAGAAATTTCAAACTGAATATGAAGCTAGATTGTTCTTCACAGGGACAAAATAATACAATAATCAAATAAGTCACAATAATCAACAGATATCGCATATCGGCCAAACTATGAAGACCAGATTATGGCCAGTGGGCATTTGGCTGAAACACTGTATCTATAACAACATCTATAATAAGCAAATGAGAATAATAATTCGAAATAAAATTATATTAACAGTTACTCATCTCAAAAATGAAACCCAAATTTATTTAATAATTCTCATTTGGATTGCCATTCTACAGCTGTTAAGGTAGAGCTTTGTGAGATTCAATATGATAAGAAATTAAGATGAAAGAAATCCTAGTCAAGGAATAGTAATTTGACAATGTTTCATCTAAAATTTCAGATTGTCATAAAGTATGTTTTGACAGTCATTTTTATAATGCTTAGTTTCCATCTCAAGATGCAAGGCACATATATTATTTACCAGCTATTTACTGTGTTTTTTTTTTCCTTCTTTTTTTAAATTTATTTATTCCAGGTGTACGCTCTACTTACATGCAGCATGTTTATGATTTCTACAAACCTGACATGAACTCCGAGTATCCAGTAGTCGATGGTAAACTCTCAGTCCAGTGTTATTTACAAGCCATGGATGAGTGTTACCAGCAGTTTAAAAAAAAGGCTCAACGTGAAGGAATTGCAGGTGAGGCATTTACAAAAAAAAAAAAAAAAACTGAACATCAGGTTGCCTAGTGCTGGTTGGTTAATTCCTGACTGCTGTGTCTTGATAATTGGCTATTCTAAATCCATGAAAAGCATTCACAAGGCAAAGAATAAAATGAGTTAGTTTGAGTTTCTTTAAGAGTAAGAAATTTTTCATTGCTCTGTTTAGATATTGATTAGTCAATTACATCTTAACCTTTTTTTAACCATTGAACCCTTTTCACCGTTATCCAAATCAAAAGGTCCTTTCCAATTTTTTTTTTTTTTTTTCAATTGCCTACACACACACACACATGGCCACAGTCAGAATCATAGTCATTGTAAACTCCATGATCCTTTCATTAGCTGCATAGTATATTCTTCACCTGGGCTACATATTGTTTTTGAATTCAGAGTTGTTGTTCTCCTAGACTAGCTGCCACCCAAGGCCAAAGAGCCCAGTCTGCCCTACTATTTACCTATAATTGGAGGTTTTTAATTCAAAGTTTTCCTTCTCCAAGACTGGTTTCTACTCAAGGCTATAGGAACCAGTCTGTCCTGCTAATTACTCATAGCTGAGGTGCGAGAAGATGGATTCATACCTTTCCCACGGGTACTTTTTTGATAGATTTTTTTTAAGCTAACCTTTATCTCTTACAATTAAGACTAAAACTAATTGGCTATTTTCAATTGTAGATGTCCTCAAATTTCATTATTTCATGCCTATGGACTATTGTAGATTTTTACTCTAAATGATTGTCTACAATAGTAGTTCTCAACATATTTTGATCAATGCACACATTTCATCATAAGTCAGAATGTCACTCTCCCCACTTTCCAAGATTGTCTCCCTCAAAAGGTGCATTCCAAATAATATGAATATATTATTGAAAATCTTCATTCTTTTCCATATTAGTATGTATGCATTGACATGGATTATTTTTACAGAAGAGTTTTACAAATTTAATAGCAATAGAAAATGTTGATGGATTTTTAAACTTGACTACATGTACAGTAATTTGTTTTAATTCATAACTAATTATTAAATATATATACTTTGATAAAGAAAAAGTTCAATAGAATGCCAAGGTATTGTAATTCAATAAATAAAAATGTTCAATAAAAGCTCAGGGTATGTAAATAGATTTTAATTTGATGAAGTTTAAACTTAATGAGAAACTTGTGTAGAAGTAAAAGATTTCTCTTCCCCACACTGAAACCTTGGAATTTACCCTCAGTGTGGAGGTGGGTTATCCTCCCTCTGTTTGAGAACCCCTAGATTAGTGTAAGACCAGAGAGGTCACCTAAATAGAAAATATCTATAACAAATTGTGCAGAGTGTCAAAAGAAACCTTCTGGCTAAGTGGATAAGTTTATAAAAGGGAACATTCTTTTTAATCTGGTGCTTCTGCTACATATTCAGAGATTCTTAATAAAATCCAAAGAAAAATCTGCAATGTTATTGGTCTTGACCTGGCATCTCAACTTCAGTCACTTTCCCACCACCATAATGTAGCTTCCCTGTGCCTTTTCTATAAATATTTTCATGAAAATTGTTCTAATGAGTTTTCCTTTATGGTACCTAGACTTTATGAATTTAAGCAGAGTATTAGACTGGAAGCTACAATTTTACAATTAAAATGGTTAGATGTAACTGTTAATGCTATGCTAACAGTTTCTTCCATTTTCTTACTTTCCAATCAACTTTGATCTTCAAAAATTTAAATGCAATGTCAATCGTTATCTTCTGTCTCCTTAATTCCTCTTCTTTTATTGTCCTTTCACCTTAATCAAGTTTTTCTTTTCGTTTTTTTTTTTTTTTTCGTTTTTTTCTCTCATCTTCTCTCACACTCAGTAACCCTTTGAATCTTAGCGGCTTTATTTCCTCACATGGGGGGAAATGCTAAAAAAAAGGTCTAAAGCCAAGGAATCCTCCAAGTGACCACTGCATTGTTTAAGATTTTTCACTGAAAATTTAATGAGTTTTAACTGTTCTATTATCTCTGTAAACTGCAGAAAACACTTTTGCATTTAAAATTCTATGCCTTTGTCATAAATTGTGTTTTCTTCAAAACCAAAAACATAATTTCTGCTGCTTAACAAATGAAATAGAAAAAAATGTCTTCATGAAAACTGATTTATTTCTTTACAGATTGTCTCAATTCAGTTGTTAGAAAGACCCCAAGAATCCAAATCAAAGATCATGGCTAGATACAGAAAAAAAAAACTTCAACATCACAACCTAAACTGAATCTGCTAATGGGAGTTGTCAGTTTTCAAAAAAAAAAAAGACTACATAAATGGGTTTTATTAAAATTCTAAAAATACCTTTTTAGAACAATGAAAATTGCCAAGGGAGTATTCAGTAATAACAGTGTCAAGAGGGAAAAAAAGCATTATTTTAACACTTTTTTTTTTTTTTTTTTTTTGCAGGTACAGATGTCAAACTTTGCCAAAAGTTCTTTGTGCAATTCAAAAAAAAATAAACATTCTGTATTACAAATTGATGGTCTTTCTGGGTATGATGATAAACTACATCCTGCAACAAGGCCTCTGATTGGGAGATTGGAGATTTTTAGGAGCTTTAAACCACCTCTTAACTTCTGTTGTTCTCAGGTCCACCCTGACCCAAGGTGGTAGCACCTGTTAGGGTCCCAGCTATGGGCAAATAGTAAACTTCATAAACAAAAATCAACAGTACATTTTTATAATAAAATGAGCAACAATACATTTTTATAGCAAAATTACCAACAATACATTTTAGGATCTACAAATTATGTATCTAAAGAAAATATACCTTTTACTCTGAAAGTATAAAATTATGTACAAAATATTTAGATTTTGGCATTTAATAACCCAGAGAGGTTGATATGTTGCTAAACAAAATCAACCAACAAATTAATTGCTGGAGCCTGTTATTGCACAACACTACATTGAGAAATTGGCTTATTTTGAATTATATATTGGGGGGGGGTCTTGGCAAAGAATTGAGTGGTGGTTTTATTTAAAGACAATTACCTGTGTTCATATTTCAAGCTATAATGGAGGTGGAATAGAAAATTTGGCAAACTTTGATCTTCATGTCCACAAAAAAAAAACTGTCAAAAGGAAATTTTTTTTCCATTGACATTACTATTATATTAACTACCTTCACTCCTTGGCAATATTTATTGTTTTAAAATCAATGATTAGAATTGTAATAAAACCTAAAAGTATAATGATAGTGAATTTATACATTGTCTTTATTCTTGAGAACAGGCAACAAAAATAATAAACACTATTTATTTATTAGATTCTTTATTTACAATATTTATTTATTATATTGTTTATTGGAAAGATTGGCAAAACATTGGCTAATTGCCAATTGATTCAAACTTTATAAAATGGTAAATAATGATTTCCTTATAGTTGGTTCACATATTTTAATAATTTAGTAAATGTTTATAAATTTATGAATAAAAAAATTGTTTTCATACTTTTTTTAAGTAAATGATAAATATTGCATTGCATTAGTTTTTAGAATGTTGTGAATATAAAATTATTCTTGTTAAATAAACTATGTAACTTTCCAGGGTTTGTTTCAAATAATATAAACCAAGCTTCAGGGGACCTTCCCCCACCCCCAAGTGATACCTCTCCTTTGGGAAGGGACTGGGTTCATTTCTCAGCAACTGAGACAACCCCAAAGAGGAAGTGCCAAGGTGGCTTAGGCAATCTTTTTGATATTGCCATTAAATCCACTTTGTACATTGACCTTGTGTCTGTCCTGGCAGCAGTGTGAATGCTAAACACATATAAAATCATATTTAAATATAATGTTATGTATATTATATGTATCATAAAATCATCAAAAACAAAACAATTATCATAATAAAGTATGTTCAGTAGATGTTTTTATTTAAAATTCCTGTCGAAAGGCAGCATTCGTGCATTGTTTTCTAATGCTAAGTGTAAGGCTATATCGCTGGAAGATTATTTTAATCAGAATACTGTACGTATATATCATAAATTCTGCAATAGGCAATGGGGAGTGGTTATTTCCAATTAAGTCATTTTTTTTTTTTTTACCTACATCGTAAACTCAATTAATTAACCACATAGGGTGATGTATACCTGTATATCATAAAATATATTAAATCTTTTGTAAAAAAATAAAATGAAATGTTGGAAACTTACATCCATTTAATATTCTGCATGGTTTTTGATTCATTTAAAAAAGATAGAGAATGATTTTTAAAAAAGAATATTAATATTTATTCATTTGTTTTTAATAAAGCTTGATTTATTTACTTTTTTTTCTTTTGTTTTGTTAATAGAACATTTCACTTTGACAAGTGCTGATGGTTTTGTCTTTCATTCACCCTACTGCAAACTGGTGCAGAAATCCTTGGCTCGGTTGATGCTCAATGATTTTCTCCAAGACCCAAATCCGGATTTTCAAGGTTTATACAAAGGATTAGAAGGATTCAGGTAATTGGCTGATATTTTGGTTACAATGAATTTTCCGCGTTTGACAAATGAACAAAGACATTTATACTCTTGACATTCATCTTGACGAATTGAAAAGTTTGAATCCAAGGGAGATAAATCCGTTGAGCTCATTAAAATTGTGAGGCTGTTTTCAGTAATTAACTACATCCTACTTCCTTGTTTTGTCGTGCAGCTTAATTTGCTCCTTATGTGAAACTTCTCAATGGTATCTTGATATGACCAAAACTTTTTCTTTTTACTTTACACATTTATGTAAATGGAGAATAATTATAAAATACACTTTTAGTCTAGGCAAATATTTTTTTCTTGAGAAAGGTTAAAGAATGCATTAGTTAAAACAGTGTTTCCCAAACCATTCACCACAGGTTGCCCTAGGACAAATTTAAGTGCGCTGCAAAAAAGCTAGATTTTATTTTTCTCATTTTGGAATATAAACTAGAATTCATAATAAAATTTATCTATAATTGTCAGCTGCATCTAGAGACAAGGCCAGTGCCTACTACCAGCCAAAAGGGCCAAGAGAGTCCCAAGTCTGATTGAGGGCCTCAGGCAGTTCTTTGTGACTATCTTATGAACAGTTGTTTTTTTTGGGGGGGGGTTCTACCTACATTATATGTTACAAATTAAACAATGCACAACTATCAAAGGATAAAAAACTTTTGTGGATTTTGACATCATTCTGAGGTCATTTTTTTTTTTTTTTTTATCCAAATCTATGAACTTGTTTTGCTCATGCTAATTCATGAAAAAACTCTATATAACTTCACTGATTTTTTTTTCCATAATTTTGAGTATGTTAAGATTATTCAACTTTCAACAAGAAAAATCTCAATCTGTTAAAAATTGCCACAAAACATTGTTGATTTATTTGAGATGGAATGATCTATTATGACATGTCTCATGATTTGTCATAATAGATCATTGCTAATGAGTACATGAATATGGTCTGAGTTATGTTTCTGCTGCGTAAATAGGCCCACAGTTTTGTAATTGACCACACAATGCTGTTGGCGTCATTGGGTGTTTATTTACATCACTGATTCCACTAGCAAATTCATAGTACTGTATTTGACAATAACATATGGGACATATCAGTACTATAAAGAAACTATGATTTATAATTTATGACTATTATTGATATTTTATTGGAGCTGTTGAATGTGTTTGTCACTAAACCTGATAAATTGTGTATGTTTTCTATACCAGATATGATTTACAAAAACTGGAAGATCAACCATACCCAGCTGCCCAAATAAAACCTCCATTTGCAACTAGTTGGCAAATTAGTGGTACTATCATTGTCACTTGTTTGTCCATTATTATACAAGCAAAACCATGACTAATTCCATTTCTGACCACAACAAAGGACAATGCATCTGTTTTATTTAAAGAACAGCCCGTGTGACTTTTGCAATTGTAATTTCACATCGTCTCCTAAATTTGCACTACAATGTGAAAGTTGTCATTTAGCAATGACAACTTTCTCATTGCAATTGCTGGTGTTAACAAAATAAATTTCTCAATCATTTTCTTGAGAGTATTATTTTTAATTATCTTCCATTTAAATTATAATTAAATTTCAATTATTTTCCATTTAAAAAAAAAATTAAAATCAAACAAATAGATGATACCATGAAATATTGTAAAATAAACTTAAATATTGATCTCATTTCAACATTAAAATTATTAGCAAAGGAATCATCAAAGAATGGATCCTTTCTGATTGAAGGAATCATCAAAGAACAAATCTTTTTCCAGTGAAAGGAATTCCCAAAGAATGGATCTTTTCCAATCATAGGAATCATCAAAGAATAAATCTTCCCCAACTGAAGTCCATTGTTTGGGCTTAATGCATAATTCATTAATTCACCTCCATGTTTTATTTTCTGATTCAACCAACTTTCACAGCTGTTCTCTTCTTACATTATTATTTTTCATCATGTTTTTGTCTTGGTTAAATTTCAGTTTTTTATTCTATTTTGTTTGCTGCTTCCACTTCTAAGGCCTTGAAAATTTTACTTGAACATTGTCTATATTATACCCCAGAGTGTAAGTTTTGGCTCTGATCGAAAGTTTTCATTTCGATAATGGATTTTGAAAAAAAAAAAAATTTCTGTTTGTTTCCTTTGATGTAATAGAATTTTATTCCCTTTTAGTCAATTTTGAAAAACTCTCAAGCTAAAAGAAATGAAACTGAACAAAAGATTCTGAATGTGTCTTCACATCTGCAAACCATTCAGTTATTAATATATGACAGGCTACTATTTGTCTCGGTTTGCTACTTGACTTTGTCAGCATAAATTGTGCTCTTTGTGTGGGATTAGGTCATATTGAATAAGTTAGCCTTAAAATAGATAGGTTTATGAAGAGGAAACATAAGTAATGATTGTGGATCTAACAGTGAATGCTTGTCAAAAGCAACTAAGCCTGGTTGATAATAAGACAAAATCTTAACACAGTCATTAATAATGCAATAGCTATTTAAAGTGTGAGTTTCATTGGACTGGAAATGGGTATGAACCTCTCCGTCTATATGTCATTTATGGTGAAAGGATGTCTAATGATGTCATGGTACCCAACAAGTTAAACATTATACAAACTAAACATTCGCACCTTAAGCATCTGAATTATTTCCAAGGACTTTTAGAACAGCAATCCAAAAATTATTTTCAGGAAAAAGTTTACAATTTTTGAATAGGCTCAGGTTGAATCTATCAATAGAACCGAAAATAATTGCACCAAGAATGAAATTGTATCTTTTAGCTGAGTCGGTTGGCCTGCTTGCAGAAAGATGGTTGAAAACCGAACAAGAAATAAACAAAATTCTCTTTTCAAATAAAAGAAAGCCATAAGACAATTATGTATCTATCTGCTGATCTAAAAGAAAATTTACAGAGCAAATTTCAAAACTCACAAATCTACAAACTGATGAATCTTTAAACATTAATAAAAAAAACAAAACACAATTGCATTAATTTGCTTTATCAAGAGGAAACCAAATTATAAATCAGTTCTTTTGTTGCACTTATTGAATGTGCAGGCAGTGTAATGGATTGTGACTCAGAATGAGAAATCAATGAACAGAGTTTGAATTCTACTCAAGTCCATTACATTCACTTAAGTGCAAATACCATTGGAAGAGGTATGAAACCATCTCCTCCCCCCACTATAGGTTAAATAGTAGGACTTGTATCTGTTTACTCACAAAAAATTCTCTCAATCAATTATAGTAAGAAATGTATGAATCCATCTCCTCTACCTCCAGCTATGGGTTAAATAGTAGGACTTGTATTTGAAAAAAAATCATTGTTACTCCCCCAAAAATTGTTAATATAAAAATATTCACTCACAAAAACAAAATGATTCTTACAATCCATCTTGTTTTGGCATTAAATAACCCACAAAGGGTTGATAATCTGTTAAAAAAAAAAAAAAAAAAAACAATGAAACTCCCCTGGCTATGGGTTAGGCAGTAAGACTTGTATCAGGAAGAATCATTTTTCTTTATATACTGTATCCCTTCAGGACATATGGCTCTCTACAATTTCCTGTTATTCATAGTTCTTAATAAATTTTGCCTTTTTCTTAATTCTCCTAAATCTTGCTCTGTCATCCATTTATTGAAGCTCAATAAGTATGTTAGGCTTTGTTTTCCTCTGTGCCTCTTGCCTTCAATCTGTCCTGTGAGTATCAGATTTTCCAAACCCTCTTTCCTCATTATGTGCCCTAAAAATTTCACCTGTCTCTTCATGATGTTAAATATAAGTTTCGTTTTTGTTTCTATTTTTTTCTCAAACTTTGTTACTCACATGTTTGATCCATGGTATCCTCAGCAGATCTTGTTTCATGTTACTTTTTTTCTTTCCCCCCAAGCTTAAAGAGGGTCATCAAGATTTTGAAGGTATGAAGCACAGTGGGCTTAGATGGGCTAACTTTGGAAATAGAGGTATGATGATGTATAATTTGGCCCAATCCTTAATCTGATAAGTGATTAAGGTCTTTTTTGAAGTGTATGACCAAGCTGAGTTCATAAAAGGTGAAATTTCTTAAAAATTGGGGGTTTGGTCTGGTATTTCCTTATTTGGGCATTGCTTTCCCAAGGTACAAAAATTGAATGATTGACTTGATGGAGGAAGGTTTTGAAAATTCTGAAAGAGTTTAACCAATAAACCTTTGATATTGGTAACATGGTGTATGGATCTTAGCCATTTTTAGTGTATCTGATGAATTAGAGCAAGAAAATTTCTGCATTTTGAGTAAAATTGGACAAAGTTTTGCTCAATTTTGTGTGAAAATCAGCAAAGATAATGTTTTTATCTATTTTGATGGTATTCTGAGGCAATTCATCGCTAAATATCCTGTCTGTAACCCCAAAATAATAATATACGACCATTTTCATCCATTTGGAGCTTAAATTTTAATGCTAGTGTACATACAAAGTTTACCAATTAGATAAATTTATAGTCTTTGAAATAAACTTTGGTTTTGCATTAAAGAAGAAATGCATAACAAAGTGAAAAATTCTAAATTGGCTTAGCCTCAATTTTGGTATGTGAATCTTAGCCATTTTTGATTATTTGACGTTTTTGACTAAAAAAAATAGTGCAATATCGGGAAAGATCAGACATATTATCGACAAATTTTGATTCTGATTTTACTTTGTCAAAATCTTAATGAATTCATCATGAATCAATGATTATTTTCCAATCAGAATTCAATTATATGGTATTCAATGTTAGAAAAATGATAGTAGCTCCTCATATAACCATAACAGATTTTAGCCCATTCACTTATCAGGGTGATGTAACATTTAAAAATATGTGGTCAGGATATGGGGCTAAGAAATAGCTAAGATTTTATTCAGATTTCTGTAACTTCAAATACAATAAAATCAGTCCTAGATATGCTAGAGACTTAATTTTTTTTTTTTTTTTTTTTTAAGAAATTTAATTTTGATTCATTTGTTTATAACAAAGGTTTAAATAAAGAATAACCTGATTTTTTGCCAATTTCCAACTCTGGGCCCAGTGTGTGAAGGCCATCAAGAGGCGAATTCTTCTAGCAGTGCATGACAGAGAAGGATACAAAGATGTATTAAACTCAAGGGGGATAACTTTGAAGGGGAAACCATGTAGTTTGTTGTTTGGAATTTAAATTGTTTGTGACACTAGTCACATTACTTTTCAGACAGACCTTGTCGATTATATTAATAATCAGAGTTGGGAACAAAGAAGTCAGTCCTTGTTTACCCTTAGCAAACAACCAACTGTCCCTAGGGTAGATTTGATGCTACCCGTTCATATCGACAGCCACATGTAGATGAATGGTGGGTGGTAGGAGGAAAGAGCCGAGCTGATAGACTGACACAGCAGAAGTTCTCCCAAGTGTCACCTACCTACCCACACAGACCGAGGCAAATGAAGCCCTGAATAAAACAACTAAATATATTGGAAACAGGATTCAAGTTCTTATTTCCCTAATGTGACATTTGTTCTCATCTTTTCTTTCCCTTGTGAACATGCAGCAGGCCTTTTTCTGTTTTGGGTGCACACCAGCACGAACAAGTCAGAGTTGCAACATGGGGTGGTCATTGGACGATCAGTGGCAAGCTGGTTGAGCACCGTGTTGTATGTTTATATTTTGTCAAAAAATAAATGCTGGAATGTTTTGTTTTTTTTGGTGGGTGGGGAATGTTGCAATTAAACTGAATGTTGTGATTGTTTATTTTGCAGGGAAGTGAAATTGAAGGATTCGTATTTTGATAAGCAAGTAGAATCTGCCTTCATGAAATCAAGTCAACAATTTTTTATCCAGAAAACAAAACCATCCCTTTTCATTGCCAGCCAAGTTGGGAATATGTATACACCATCTTTGTATAGTTGTTTAGTTTCTTTTATTATCAAGTAAGTTTTGTTGCTTTTATTTCTTGTAAAATATTTGATCTTACAACTCTGTGTGTGTATGTATGTATGTATGTATATATATATATATATATACATATATAAAAAAGCATGAAAATAAAAAATAATCTTCAAACATGACTACAAATTTAAACAAATTTTATTATTGAGAATTTTTTTTTTGTTTTTTTTTTTCACGTTAAAATATACTCACAAAACAAAATCCCACAAAAACATTTTTGTTTTCTACAACACAACAGAAATAATTATATTAGTAAGATAAAAAAACATAAAATAACGAGTCACATATTTACATAATTTTATGAATCCATGTTATTTTTCAGCAGTCAGCAAATGAAAGCTGTGTTATTACTACCGTTAATATTTTTGGTGACATAACTCTGTTCATATGTTTTTATGTATTGCTTGCTTTACTTTAAAATCATGAGGTTATTGCAAGAAGTTACATGATAAAAGATGTGCAAGGTTTAGTAATTATACAAAAGATGTGAGTAACCAGCTTGTGCACAACAAACTCTAGTCAAAGGTTTACAGAAGAACTGAAAACTAATCTTTGCGAATTTATACAATGAATATTTATAGAAAATAGATAGGCTCAAGGAAGCTAAAAGTTAGATTCACTGAACACAGAAGTTTATTGGTTAATGAATATTTTTTTCAATTTATAAATATCTATTTTTAGGAGGAAAAATATTGTTGATCATTTTCTGAAATGATCTCTCAAATTTTGTAGCAGACAACAAATATAGTTGTATGATTTTTCGAGGCCTTAAGCACATTCGAAATAATGTCGCTGATTGGTTAATAAATGCGGACATGGACATTCAAATTGGAGACTACTTTCTATACAAAAATGAGATTTTAGTGATAAAAGAATTTTTCTACCATTTCTAACTAGGTTCCACACACACACACACACACATATATATATATATATATATATATATATATATATATATATACTTAAGGTCATCCCATAAGTTCTGTCTGAATTTTAACTTTTTGTTAAAATGAACGAAATCAGCAATTAGAGCATTTCAACCAAACTTTGAGGAAAAAAAGACCTGCTCTAGTGAATCGAAAAGGGGTGATGTTTCATCAGGACAATGCACGACCCCACACAGCAAGAATCACATCACAAAAGATCCAAGAACTTGGTTGGGAGAAAATTCCTCATCCACCTTATTCTCCCGATCTTACTCCTTCAGATTACCATTTGTTTCGTAGCTTACAGAATCATTTGGAAGAAACAGCTTTTGTAACACAGGAAGAGGTTAAAACTGACATTTGTGAGTTCTTCGAATCAAAGCCAAAAGAATTTTACAGTAATGGAATTAGTAAGCTTGTTAATAGATGGAATGAAGTCATAGATAATCAGGGAAAATACATTGTTGTTTGAATCTGTAATTAAATGTAACATTTGGTCACTTGTTTTCTTTATTCAAAATTCGGACGTAACTTATGGGATGACCTGATATAAAGGAAAACTTATCCTCTGAAGGATTTTATAAAGGCAAATGTAAGAATTTTATTTTGCAGCAAGTATTTATGAGCAAAAGTAAAACTGTTATTTTTTTTCAAAATTTTTAAATATAAGAGATGCTTATAAATATTCATAAGGTTGACTGAAAAGTCTACGTAAATTATGGAGGATGCTAAGTGACATAATGTAAGATCTTATAAATGAAAGTGAGTAAATGATTTTGAATTTTTTTTTTATTTCATGCAATTTATATTTAAATTATTTTAGTTTGGGATGAATTTATGTGTTATATATTTTAAATAACATGAGGTTATGAATTTAACCATTTTCTTTTAAAAATTTTTAACATTTTTATAGTCATTAATGTTGTCTTGGAAAAGTAGTAAATCAAATAATAAAAATAAAAAAATTTGACAATATCATTTATTCACTTTTATTTATTAGGCATTAAATTACATCACTTAACATCCTCCATAATTTATCTTGACTTTCTAGTTAACCTGATGAATATTTATAAGCATCTACCACTCGTCCCTTCAGCCCCTCAACCTCCGGCGTCTTCCTCTTTGGGTTGAGGCGCCCACTCGGTCTGAACCGAACTCAGGGGTAGCTGGCCGCACACTCCGTAGATTGTTCGACCAGTCACTGGCCAAGTTCCACCTGCTGCCCACATTGTGTTAGTTTTTAGATCCAGTAAGCAAGGTGTTGTCCATACGTTCACAGTCAATTGGGGATGTAGGCACAGCTGTGAGGGTGGGCGGCAGGAAAATTAGAATGTGGCAAACAAGGAAATAATATCTGCAGAAGCCGAACAACAATGGGTAAAATATTGATGTCTTTTATATAAGAAAACAACAACAGTAGAAAGAGTTTACAGAAAAGGATAGAAAAGCAATTAACATAAGAACAGAGGACCATCCTCTACCAATTATACCAACAAAGAGAGGTGTGTGTGTGATTAACTCGTTCCAAATCAACTTGGGAGGATATGTTTATGTAATTCCAGCCCTATGTGGAAGTATTTTTCAATTGGTTGTCATAAGTGACAAGCGTTAAGTTTCAGCAACTTTTCAATGCGACTGCTACAACGACGATGATATTTCTTGAAGTCCTTATCTCTGACTCGCCACTGGACCGACTCACTGCAATGACAGTCTCTCTCTCTCTCTCTCAACGTCACTCTCATCTAATGCCCAAGTCTCCCCAACTCAGCAAAACTCACATTTATATAGCAAACCAAAGGTTATAAGCCAGGTTGTTCACGCGCTTAACACGAGTGTCGCCATAAGCAAAGTTTAAATTCAGATCTATTTCAAATCTCTTAGTGGATAAAATTAATTAGTTCAATGTTCATTTCAACTGTCTTTTCGATGACCAAATTCAGCGGATACAACTTATGTTTAGATCAGATTTCGCTAGCGGTAAACATACACTGATCTTACCTCCCGGTCCAATTCCCCTTTTTCAATATGTTTTTAACCAAAATATTATTTTCGTTTTTTTTTTTTTTTTTTTTTTTAATAACCCAAAATAAACATCGCCTCCTGCCCTTTTGCATTTGTTTATAAACAAGTCCTTGCCAACCCGACTTGAAATTTATTCTTTATCCATCAGCCATCTCAGGTTTCATATATCATTGTTCTAGATTCTTTCCTATTAATAGCGCTGACACAGTTTGTAACTTTCACGGAAGATCATGTTTTCCATCTTCAATCAATAAACATTATATTTGCATGTGTGCATTCATGTACGTCAACCTCTCTCTGTTACAAGCATGTCCTAGATTTAAAAAATTAAAAGAAACTAACATTTTACCTTTGTTTATAAGTACTTGTTGCAAAATAAAATCACACCTAGTCAATACCTAGATAGGTGACTGTTTGGGAATACCAGTTGCTGTAAGCTTGGATGTGTGGGTGGTGTAATGGATAATGGCTCAGAATTGTTAATTGGAGAGCCAAGTTTCAATTCCCATAGAGTTCGTTATAATTACTTAGGCACAAATACCCTTGGTAAAAGTATGAATCCACTTCTTCTCCCCCCAGTTAAGAGTTAATTAGTAAGACTTGTATCATTATTATCTTAAAAAAAAATAATTCCTACAATGTAAAAATATTTTCTAGCTTTAAATAATTTACAAAGGGTTGATAAGCCTAGAAAATCAGTCAATACCTGTAAAATGCAATCTTCAAAAGAATAACTTTAAAATAAGTGGCATCTCAAACACATACTGCCTCAAAGCTAAATTATTTTCTTTTTCTGGCACTACTTAAATATAGTGGTCCACTCAAAAAAAAAAAAAAAAAAGCAAGAAAATTTTTTCAGAGATTAGCATTCATTAGACATTACTCAAAGGTACAATATTTATCAGAATTAAATTTTTTTTTTTTTATAATTTTAGAAGTATTTTGTACTGTTCATTCAAACTTAGTATTTGTAAATAACAAACTAAAAAGTCTGGAATCAAGTTTGCATTGTATTGATATTATGAACAGGTCTTCTAAAGTTATTAAAAAAATCAATATTTTTCTATTCCAGCAAATGACACACCTTAAGTGAAGGTCTAATGAATTGTACCTACAAAAATAAATTCCAAAAAACGTTTCCCTATATATTTTGTTTTTTTGTTTTTTTTTACTAGTTGGCCACTCCATTTAAGTAGTACACGTTTTCCAGATGACAGAGATTGGGAATTATGTTAAAAATTAATGTTAATTTCAAGTGAATTTTTCAAGACATGAAGCCATCATTCAATAACTTCAATAACATCATTGAAATTCCAAGTCAACCAGATTGGTCTTAAATATTTTGCTTTCTTTTTTTTTTTTTTTGAATGGAAGAGACTAATCATAATTTGAAAATCCGTTTATTTTTCTTTCAGTCATTCCTTAAATGAACTTCCAGGAAAACGAATTGTTCTCTTTTCTTATGGATCTGGTCTTGCTTCTTCAATGTTTACACTGATGATTTCCGAAGACACTTCACAGAAGACTCAACTTGAAAAGATCCATCAATGTTTAAATGAAGTCCGGGAACGGCTAAATTCTCGTGTGAAAATGACACCTGAACAGTTTGAGCAGACATTGAAATTGAGAGAAGAAACGCATCACAAGGGTGAGAAACATTTTTGTTTGAGATTATATTCAAGGGAGAGAACTAAAGCTAAAATATATAACCGACATTAAAGATGCACATTTTAGAGCTGAGCCAAGATATAAAATCAACCTGAATGGATTTAATCTACTGTAAGCATCATGTTTTTTCTTGCTCCTTGTCATCATCACTAGATTAAGTGATTTGTTTACAGTTAAACTAAGAACTTTGTTTTGTGCATGAAGTTTGCAAAGAAAATAAATAAGGATGGGTATTTTGAAAAAAATATTTTTGTTAGGGAGGGTGTTCACAAAGTAATTGCCTTTTATCAGAAAAAATATAAAAGCAAACGGGCAAACCTGATCTATCATGTCTGCAAAAGAAAAACTGTGTGGCAAAAGAATGTGTTTTTTTTTTTTTTTTTTTTTTTTTTTTCATTGAATATTATTTTAACTACCTTCACTCCTTGACAATGTTTATTGTTTTAAAAAGCGAGGATTGGAATTGTAATAAAAGTTATATATATGAAAGTGAATTTATACATTTTCTTTGTTCTTGAGAATTGACAACAAAATAATAAACACTATTCAATTGTTTATTTAGACTATTTATCTCTTAGACCGTTTATTGATTCAAACTTTATAAAATGGTAAATAATAAAGATTTCTTTATAGTTGGTTCACATATTTTAATAATTTAGTAAATGTTTATTTATTTCTTTAAAGATTGGTAAATGATAAATATTGCATTACTTTTAACTATTAGTTTTTAGAATGTTGAAAATAAAATATTCTTGAAAATAAACAAATAATTAGATAGTGTTTAATATTTTTGTTGTAAATTCTTAAGAACAAAAAAGGTTATAGATTCACTTATGTTTAGGATTTATGGCAATTCTAATCATTGCTTTATAAAACAATAAACATTGCCAAGGAGTGAGGGTAGTTAAAATAATAGTGGTGTTAAGGGAAAAAACGTACTTTTGACACTTGGTTTAAATTGCAGGCATGAAGGTCCAAGTTTCCCAACAAATATAAGTCAAATTTATTTAAATATTGTTTATCAAAATTGTAATCATTTTTCACAACTGCAGCCCAACAAGAAGCCAAATTTTCAATTCCATGTTTTAAAAAATCTTTATTGGGGGCTGTGGGAGAGGGGCATGAAGAACAAATATGAGAGGAAACTTCATATCCTTTGTTTTGCAAAATTTTGTACCTTTTTATATTGTCATGCTGGAGAATATATATTTTCTGTTTACCAAAGCAGGACATTTACATTGATGGCCCTTCCTAAAAGATTGTAATGGATCACACCTTTTATATTTCACCAGACACAATGCAAGGATTTCTGTTGATGGAATCTCAGTTTTGCTGTTCATACTGGTTTCTCAGTTTGTGATAACCACTGTCTTTGGGGGGAGGGTTGTTTTCTGTCAACATGCAAAACCCATTTTCATCACCTATAACAATACAATTCAAACATAAAAGTTTGGCATTGCTGGTCAAAAAACTCATGCAGATGGTGGAACACTGTTTCAAGTTCTCAAGCAAAAGCTGATGAGGAACCCCAATTTCTCTTTTGTAAACTTTCCCAATTAAACTCTGAAATGCACTATAAATGGCACACTGTCAAATGGTAGAAATGATAAAGTAACTCTAGATGACTTTTTCTGTCATTTGACTTTGCTTCTGTTGTGGTTGGTTGAATTATAATCTGTAACAGTGAATTAAGTGATTACTGTCTGAACTTCATTATATTGTGTGTTGGAGGTCATTTAGATTTTCTTTGAATTTTGCATATGAATGCAATAATTTCTTAATGGATTTTTTATCCGACCCTAAGAAGGCTACCAGTTCAGACAAAATGCCAGTGGTTGTCCTTAAGAATACTAACCCAGAGTTATTCCCAATCTTAGCAAAATTATTTAACTGCTGATTGAATTCCTATCAATGGCATAATTTTTTTTTTTTTTTAGTAGGATTTATTGATCTAAGACAATTGTTATTAATTTCACTGTTTAAGAAAATAAAAATACAAGGATAACAACTCAAATACTTGGACCTACTAAAAATAATCTTTCTAGAAATAAAGAAATATGAATACAATGTAAATATATTTCTATGAAGAAAATGATGAGAATTTTTAAAAGTAGATTAAATAATTTGTGTTGTATTTATTTCAAATATTTGTTTTTGTTCACAAATATCCAACCTGAGTGTAAAGAACTAAATCTGTTCCACTTTAAAATGAATCAAGTGTCACCACAAGAATTTTTCTTTACTAACATGTTAAAGAAATTCTGTTTGTCTAAGAAATCAAATCTCTCACAAATCTATAGTTTGTATTCTTCATCATTCTGTAAATAAAGAAAGAGCTAAAAAGTATTTCATCAGAGCAAAGCTATTACAAATATACATTGATCTTATTTTTTTCTCCTATTTCAGCTCCATATACACCAGTTGGGTCAACTGAAAACTTTTTCCCTGGTACTTGGTATTTAACTGAAGTTGACAGTAAACACCGTCGACAGTATGAAATAATGTCCTCCTCAGCAACCATGTCAAATTCCTCAGCACTTGACGAGTGCACACATGTGAGTGAAAAACTCGTAGCATTTAATAATTGCAACCTTTTTTTTTTCTTTTCTTTTTGTTGCAATTCTTAAAAGATGATTAATGAGTTTTTAAATGTGGAAAACAAGATTTGGTGAAATGGACATAAATTTATGGTAGAGCAAACAGTTCCAAACTATGGCAAATTCTAAATGATATAATGGCTGGCTGGCTGCCTGTTTTCCTAGTACACCTATATTTAAGTGATTAGCTAACTCCCCACCCCCACCCCACACACACTGTTACAGATGCTTGCTCAGGTATATTTTGTGTTTCAGCGACACTCATAAAGTTAATTTTTTTTTTTTTTTTTTTTTTTTTTACTACTGTTCATCCAATAGAAGGCCCAAGTGTTCCTCAAGGTAGAGGGTTACTCAATGTGAATGCTGTATGGGTGTTTCAGGAGGGAGCAAGGTTTTCAAATTATGAGAATATGTAGGATAGATAGACCGTTGACTTGGGTAGGTTAAAATTGTAGTGACCAGGGTAGCATCTCTTCAGGAATCTGTTCAGCAGTTCTAAGGAAGAACCTGTCTGAGTGGAGCTTCCTCTTTACCAATTTAATATGAAGGGAATGTGGATGTGGCATGGCAGGTCCTACTTTTGTGGATGAAAACTGGTGAAACCAAAAAATGTTGTTCGCCAGAACACCGGCCATGAAAATAGCAGTAGAGCAGCAAGAGACTAGGAAGATTTCATCTGTGAAAAATAGGTTGAAGGGCAAAAAGCAATTCATCACCCACAAGTCTGCACAAAAGCATTGGAACTCGGTCAAAACTGGAAAGTGAGAATTTACATTATTCGGACTATTGTCTTCATCTTTTCCGCCATCTTTATTACCTGGTAGGAATTTTCAATTTGTCTCCATATTTTTGGTGTTTCAAGTCTGTAGCGATCCTTCAGATTATTGTCCTCATCTTTGTTGCTATAATAAATATGACGACAAAGATGAGGACAATAGTCTGAATAATGTAAATAGTGTACATAATACCTCATCTCAGAAATATAGACAGATACTAAAGAGCTGAAATGTAATAAATATGGTGACAAAGATGAGGACAATAGTTGGAATAATGTAAATGGTGTACATAATACCTCATCTAAGGAATATAGACAGATACTAAAGTGAGAATTGTTGTTTATACTGCAAGTGCAATAAGCAGACTCTAGTTTCTAGTTGAGAGTGTATAATCTAGCATGATCGTAGTTAAACAAGTTCAATGCACTTAACCTCTCAGTCACAATGACTTAGACCTCTTAGTAGAAAACATCAATGGCTACTGAACATTTTTATATCATAATTGCGATTCCAATGTAATAAATTATAACCATGGAATATTAGTGTTTAAGCCTTTTTATTATATGGTGAAAAATAGTTTCCTGATATGTTATATTTATGGGTAAGAGTGTTCAGTATCAGAGATAAAGCATGTGTAAATATAAAATGGACACTGAGCTTAGCACTGAGTTGTGATAGTCTGTTTTATAAACTCTTTTAACACAGACCTGAAAATTTCTGAAAATTGATTTTACCTTCAGTGTCCACACACACCTATATATATATATATATATATATATATATATATATATATATATGATGAGATGGGTGGGTTTCACATTGTATATTTTTAATTTTGTGTATTATTTGTTTTTGATTTTGTTGACTGCACAATATAGTAGATTTTATTTTTTTCTGTGTATGAAACAAAAAGAGCAAATGATACAATGGAAATTCTTTAACCTTTTCCCTTTTTTGTCTTACAAAACAAAACACAAACACACAAATAAAAATTATCAGTCCAATTCATTTTGCTTGATCTGAGCAAAATTATCAGAATTTATTTTGAGATCCATTTGAAGTTAGGCTGACAACTTTTCAACATCCCATTATGTATGTATGTATGTATGTGTATATAATATATATTTTATGGGTGTGTGGTCAGAACATTCGCTTTTTGAACATGAGACCCCTGTTTGAATATCACCATAGTCAATTCATCAGGAAAGAGACTTCCTGATGTTATCAGTCTGGAGGAGGGTCAATCTTAGTGTGCTGCACCTTTGGAAATTGCCTGAAAACCATACCACGGGTCGACCCAAGAATTTTGAAAAAAAAAAAAGTAGATGGAAATGAAAAGAACATTTTATAGCTCTTTTTATTGAGGGTTTGAGTGTGCTCATGTTGTACAGATTGTTGATCATTCTCAATAATACGCTCTCTTCCAGAAAATGTAACTAAGGTCTGCTCAGCATAGTTGCAGTATAAACCACAGGTTGGCTCTTTGGCAAAATGTGCCTGAGCCACAGTCTGCAATAAGGATTGGCTAGCCACCCTAGTAGACGGTTATCATCGAATACAAGTGGCCAGCTATCAGTATTATAATATACATTTTAATGGAATTTTTTTTTTTTTTTTAACTCATATTTAAGCCAATTTTAATTTAAATTTTACTAATTTCTGACATCTGCTCATCTTTTGCTCAGTTTATTTTTTTAAATACTTGGGACTCTATTTTGCAAAAGAACTTTTTTTTTCCTTTTCTCTTTTCTTTTTCCTTTTTCTTTTTTTCCTTTTTTTTCCTTTTTTCTTTTTTTTTCCTTTTTTCTTTTTTCCTTTTCTTTTTTTTTTTTTTTTTTTTTTTTTTTCTTTTTTTTCTCCTTTTCTTACTCCTTTTTTCTTACTCCTTTTTTCTTTCTCCTTTTTTCTTTCTCCTTTTTTCTTACTCCTTTTTTTAACATTCATATTCAAATCATTTGAAAACCTGTTGCAAAATAAAATCCTTTTGTGAATTATCCATCAATATTTGTGATAAACATCTTGATTCAAGATTGTAATATAGTGTTAGAGATTACAAAGTTTACTTTTCATTTGCTGGCAATAAGAGATTGCTTATTAACCATCAGGAAAAGGAGGTCAAGTTAAAAACAGACAGCTATATTTTTTTTTTTTTTTAACTTTTCTTTGATATAATCCCAAAACGTCTATAGTTTCATGGTTGATCTTTTGTTTTTCTTGGAGAATTGTGAAATCACAAGTAATGAGAAAATATTTAATTTTAATAAACCTCACCAACTTGATGCAGCTGAGGATTGGAGTTTATGATATTTTTCATTGATAAAATGTATTGATAATTTATTGCTTGGGGAATTTTAGTTCAAATATAAATTCATCAGAGCTTGAACAGGATAGGATGAATATTATCATTTTATAGATGAAATCAAATTAATTTTGTGCCATATTTATTTTAATCAATTCCCCAGAAGCAAGGTAACAATGCCACCTAGATGCAAGTGGCTACTGTGAGTGAAAGAGAAAGAAAAGACTAGAAAGAACTGGAAACCCAATCCTAAACATGTAAACCTCTACCTACTGTTCAAAACATCAGTGTCAAGAGTGTGAACCAAGACTCAGTCTTTTGATTGAGATTAATCATACTAGTTTGTTACCATGACTGGGTATTAGAATTAAGACTTATACAGAATTTTACCCATAAATCAGAAACTAGTGTTTGGATATGGAGTATTCATGCAAGGGTCCCTTCAAGATAACGGTCACCTCAACATTTAACCCTAGACCATGCAGGGTGATTTTTTTGAATTTGCTTATATATAAAATATTTATTTTATTTACCATATAGGTCTTAATTTTCCTATTAGTCTGGACGTAACTATACAGAACTAGTTTTAACTTTAACAGCAATCAATTAACCAAATTCTATTTTCTCACTACAGTCATTGAAGTTAAGCAATGTTGAGCCTGGTTAGTATTTAGATGGATAACTGCTTCGGAATACCAGGTACTGTAAGCTTCGATGTGCAAGTGGTGTAATGGATAATGGCTCAGAATGGTTAATTGGAGCACTGCGTTTCAATTCCAGTTGGATTTGTTATATTCACTTATGTGCAAATAACCTTGGGAAAAGGTAGGAATGCAACTATATAGTTAATTAGTAAACTTGTATCTCAAAAAGAAACAAAAAAAATTCTTACAATCTAAAAATATTTTCTGGCTTTAAGTGACATGCAGAGTGTTTTATTTGATCTCCAACTTCAGAAATGAAGCAAGAAGGCCATCTAAAGAAAGACCTGATTTTAATTATCTGTATATTTTTGGTCATTAAGAATTTAGAACCAATATAGATGCAGTTAAAAAATAACACCATTTTGGCCTTAATTACTTCCTCTAGATTTTTTATGTCTGAATTTTTTTTGTTGATTTTGATGATGTCTGTTGTTATAAATATTTCAGCAACAAGAAATAACTTTCCAAATGTGCAATTTAAAACGCTTGTTTTTATTATTTTTGCAGGTTGCTCATCCGATGACGGTAGAACAACCGACAACAGCCTGAAGTCGTAGAATTTTAATGCTCTGTCTCAACATCTGAAATTGCATCTCCTCAAGATTCCATAAATAGGATTATTGATTTATATTTATTTTCACGGACTTTTTTTTTTTTTTTTAATTTGGATTTTTTTTAAATTTGGGTTTTTTGTCTTTTTTTAAATTTTTTTTTTTTAAAAATCTATTTTTCATCCACATATCCAAGCAATTGTTGTTTTTATTTATATTTCATTTTTTAAAAATCATGTTTGTTTACATTTTATCAAGAACTGTTTATTGACATTGAGTTCATTTTAATTATGATGACTGTTCTTCACATTTGAAGTTTTTGACTCTGAACCAGATGAAGTCAGAATTTCATGGAATTCAAATTTTTGTTGGACACATGCTGACTGCATCACAAGCCTTACATTATCAAATAGCTTATTGTCAATTATTATTTATCACCATTTGATTTTTCAGATTTGTAAGTATTTCCTTAAGTACCAAGGTAAAGTCTTGCTCTTATTTCTTGACTTATTATCCAACTAGTATCCTCGTCTTTGTTGTTTCAGTTACTGTGATTTAGCAAATATGATTACCAGCCTTTTTCTAGGAGTAAATGTTCTGTTTAAAACCCTGTCCTAATTACTGGCTGTTACATAACCTGAACAAGACTGTAAAACATGCCAGCTAAAATATAGTAATCATAAAGATGAGGGTATTAATTCAAATAATTTAATCTTGTAATTCTTGTTACAAAGTTTCTGGGTCATTTCTGATCTTCATCTAGCTTACAATGTTAAAGGCTTGTCAGATATTCTCTTGACTATTGTAAAAAAAAAAAAGAAAAATGAAACTTTAAAGGTTTTTATGAATACTGAACTGGTAATTTAACCTGTGATATCATAGGTAGGATTTATTAAACAAATACATCCTAATTATGTTTCAATAAGGAACAAGTTGGAAAACCTTTATAAATTTGACATGTTTCATTATTATTTAGCTTCATCAGAAGTTTTTGACAAGCAGTACAGATGTTTTTTTGTTTTTTTTTTAAATTCTGTGTTTGTTTCATTAGCCAAGTATGCATGTTAGAAGGTAGGCATGGATGTGTTTTGGGAAGATGTTTACCTGTTGAAACATGGAAACAGTAAAAAAAAAAGAAAAAAGAAAAAAATATTTAATTTACCAATGGAAAAAAAGAAAAATTCTCTTATGAGAAGTAAAAATTTCCTGCTAAACTGCATTATGGATAAAATCAGCCCTTGTAGCATGTAGAAAATACTGAAGACATCAACAAATATCTTCCCAAAACACATCCACAACAGCCTCATAATGTGCGTACCTGACGTATGAAAGCAAACAATGTAGAATTAATAAAAGAAAAAAAAAAAAAATCAAGTCCTCTCTACACTGCCCCATTCCCAAAACTTTCTGATGAAGCTAGATAAATAGCAAAATATGTCAATTTTATCAAGGTTTTCATACTTGTTCCCTATGCAATCATTTTATTGGATTTAATCCATTTTCTGGCAATTTTGCACCTCCATGCCCACGAAATAAGTGTCAAAAGGGTGGGTTGGGAGCATCTAAAAACCATTATTACAAAACCATCTTCACAATGTTTTAAAAAGTGATGATTAGAATTTGAATAAAAATGTAGAATTTACAACAAACATATAAAACACTATGAAATTGTTTATTTACAACCTTCTAAAAAGTAATAGAAATAAAACTAATGCAATATTTATCATTTACCAATTGTTAAAGAAATAAACAGGAAAACAATTTTTTATTCATAAATGTATAAGCATTTATTAAATTATTAGAATATGTGAATCAAGTATAAGGAAATCCTTATTATTAACCATTTTATAAAGTTTGAATCAGTTGGCAATTGGCCAATATTTTGTCACCCATTCCAATAAATAAGTAAATAAATAGTGTTTATTATTTTTGTTGTCAATTGTATAGAACAGATAGAAAATGTATAAATTCACTTTCATCATATGTTTAGCTTTTATTAAAATTCTAATCATTGCTTTTTAAAACGGCAAACATTGCCAATGAGTGAAGATATTTAAAATGATGTCAATGGAAAAAGTCTTTTTTTTTTTTTTTTCTGGAGAACAAAATCCAAGTTTGAAATAATCATTTGTTTTAACATATGCAGAGTTTATTTGAACCCAGGATGCATAAGTCTTCATTTTTATTATCATTGCCTACTAATTTATTGTTAATCTACAACTTCATTTTCTGCATTAATGAAACTAAATCTTTCTGGTATTGTTTAGTTTTTTGACCAAAAATCAATCCATATGAACTGCTAGATATTTTTTAATTATCTGGCTCTTTTTAATACCAACAATTAAGGCAAATATATTTACAGTTACATTTAAAAAAGTGAAACAGAATTGATCATATTTATTTTTTCCTAATTTTTTTTAAACATATGTGACTTTTGTATGATAATTATATGTAATGTCATGAATTGTCTGAAATATGAGTTTACAAGTATTTTTTTAATTATTTGAGTTTAAAATAATCATATCCCTCTATTCAATTACAAAATCAAAAGTTAAAAAATTTGAAAAAAAATAAAAAGTTTGAAATGGTAACATTAATATTTATTTTAAAAAAAAAAAAAAAAAAAAAAAAATAACAAATATAAAACTTATTCATTATTTTCAAAAAAATTTTGAGAATGGATCAAAAATAATTTTTTTTTTTTTTATTTTTTTTTCTGATATTTAAAGGTATTTTTCATTGAATATATTCACATGCAATTTGGCTTAAAAATTGAAATGGAGTTGTGTGTTATGAGGTTTAATTTCCATTATTGTATGGCAACAAACTAACAGGGATTTTAATATATAGATGAAATTTTAGAAGTTTTTTATCAGTAATCCTTGTTTGAAACTGAAAATTTATTTTTATAATAAATGAACAAATAATATAGATTTGAAATTTGACCATTTTGCCATTAGTAAATATGTAAAATAGGAAACTTTTTTTTAAAAACTTTTATTTGGTCCCAAATTCAATTAAAATATTGTATTTCAGACATTAGCCTCTTATCAAGAAATGAAGTTTTTGATGGTACTTTGTCATATTTTTGTTTTAATTTGCAATAGCAGCCATTACTCCATTCACCAATGTGTTATTAATTTTAGTCCGAGATTTGTGTTAAGATCAGAAAAACAAAAAATTTAGTTTAATAGATTTGACATAAATTTTAAAAATAACTGTAATTTATTGTTCCTGAGAAAAATCCATCTATTTACATTTTATGTATTTTTAAATTTGTTTTAATCAAAACTTTCTTATTTGTATAAACTTGAATCTTATTTAGTAACAATTTAAAATAGAGATTTCTTTTTTTTCTTCTTTCTTGAGGGTGGGGTGAAAAATTTGAGAATTGTTACTTTGGTCGTATATATACATATATGTTTATGTTTGTGTGTATATAAAATTTTGGGCAGTAGCAAATTATTTATTGCCACGTTTGTAAAACGCCAACATATCAATCTGTATTGTTAAAGCATTCTGGGAATTATAAGGCAGGGGAGGTAACTTTTATTGACAACTCAGAGACCAAGCTTATTGTAGAAATTTTCAAACAGAATTGAATGAACAAATCCCAGATCCATATTGTGCTATTCTGGTTTTGACGATAAGATATTATGATATTCAAGTAAGTTATTTGTGATTTTTGAAAGCCAATTTATTTGGCATTAGTTTATGAAAAAATAGTTGACACTGACAGGTTGACAAATTCACATTCAATCTGCCTATGAACAAAATCATGTTATGAAATTGATGAAATCTATTTTAATAGGTGACTGTAAATACTTGGTAGAATGAACTGGGAATTTGTTTGGAATACTGATGATAGTTTTGAAAAATTAACAAATGGTTTTTTTCCTTCATTATTACCAATAAATACAGTGAGTAGAAATGCTTATTTCCCCTTTTAAATCTTTATAAAAAAAATTGATTTAAATTTTTCCAAGATATTTAGCTTGTACTATAAATAAAATTTTAAAAACACAGCCATTGATCTATGATGGCTGCTTTGTACTTAATAACCTGTATGATTCTTAACAGTAACAGTGGTTGTTCAAAAAAAAGTCAAAGATAAAATGAAGTTCTGATTTTCAAGAGATGCAGACATTAAATTGCCCCCCAATGGGAAAACCTACAAACAAATTGTTCTGTCCTTTTTTCCACAATAAGAAAAAGATTTATAAATTTTTTGAAAGCAAAGCAATTTAGCAAAAAAATTTTAGATTATTAAAAAAAGATTTAATTATTGTATTCAATTTAAATACTATTTAAAAACATTTTTGTGCAAAGCTGAAAGAAAAGACATTTTTCAGTAGTGTGTTTCCATTTGAAAGATTGGAATACCCATTAACATTTGTTGAAAAACATGTCATGAAAGTTAAATTGATGCTTAAAAATAAAAATATGGACAATAAGTACATTTTAAAGGAAACCTTCAATGGGAACAGATGAAAAAATATAAATTTATAAGTGCTTATCTTAAATTGAATGTACGATTTTGGGCATTTTTTTGATTTATCTTTTTCTAAGAGGGAAAATTATGATTAAATTCTCTAGAAAGTATATCTTATCAAATTCTCCTTAAGACTGTAACAAGTCATGTTCATTGTTTTTTGGTTCCCAAACTTTCAATATAACTTTTTCTTATTTCCCCAATTTTTTTTTTTTTTTTTTTTATGCCTCACCAAATTTTATGTGATAAAAAGTACATTTAAAAATAAAAAAAAGAGAGAGAGGGTTAAAAGGAGATAACTGCAGATTCAAAGTCAGAACATTATCATTGATAACTCTCTCCTCCAATTTGCAGACCCTAGTTACTATATTCTTAATACTTGATATAATGCAAAAATATCACAATGATAAAATCGGTCAATAATTATTTATAACTATTTATACTGGGACTCATGCATGCAATTACAAGTAATCCATAATAATATTTTAAATTTTGAAATCATATTT